GTTGTTAAATCTTTTTTGCAGGACTTCAAGGACATGTTTCCAGAGGACATTCTTAATGGTTTACCACCAATAAGAGGAATTGAGCGTCAGATTGACTTCATTCCAGGTGCAACAATTCCAAACCGACTAGCATATCGAAGCAACCCCAATGAGATGAACTTCAAAAGCAGGATGAAGAACCCATGAAGAAAGGGCATGTGAGAGAAAGCATGAGTGTGCAGTTCCAATGCTACTTATGCCTAAGAAGGATGGGGCTTGGCGTATGTGCGTTGATTGTCGTGCTGTCAACAAAATCACTGTAAAGTATCGTCACCCTATTCCTAGATTAGATGACATGTTAGATGAACTGCATGGTTCCTGCATATTCACTAAAATTGATTTAAATAGTGGGTATCATCAGATTAGGATGAAGGAAGGTGATGAATGGAAAACAGCCTTTAAAACGAAACATGGTTTATATGAGTGGTTACTTATGCCATTTGGATTAACTAATGCGCCTAGTACATTCATGCAATTAATGAATCATATTTTGCGTGCTTTCATTGGCAAATTTGTGGTTGTTTATTTTGATGACATTATGATATATAGTAAGAGTTTAACTGATCATATTGAGCATTTGTGAATGGTATTAGAGGTTTTGAGAAAAGAAAAGTTGTTTGCTGACCTTAAAAAGTGTTCCTTTTGCACAAATCAAATTGTCTTTTTAGGGTATGTTGTTTTAGCTGATGGAATTGCAGTAGACGAAGAAAAGATTAAGGTTATTAAAGAATGGCTAACACCTAAGAATATTTCTGAGGTGTGGAGTTTTCATGGTTTAGCAAGTTTCTACAGGAGATTCATCAAGGACTTCAGCACAATTGCAAGTCCATTGACTGAAATCGTGAAAAGAAGTGTCGGATTTAAGTGGGAAAGTGGACAGGAGAATGCTTTCAATTTGATTAAGGAGAATTTAATTTCTGCACCATTACTTGCTTGACCTGCTTTTACTAAAAATTTTGAAATTGAATGTGATGCATCAGGTATTGGCATTGGCGCTGTTTTAATGCAAGAGTGGCGACCTATTGCGTTTTTCAGTGAAAAATTGACTGTTGCAGCACTTAACTATTCTACATATGACAAAGAGATGTAAGCATTGGTAATGGCCTTAGAAACGTGGCAGCATTATCTTTGGCCTAAAGAGTTCGTGATACATATTGATCATGAATCGTTGAAGCACCTCAAAGGACAAGGTAAGTTGAATAGACGACATGCTAAGTGGGTGGAATTCCTTGAGACATTTCCCTATGTGATCAAGTACAATCAAGGAAAAGAAAACATTGTGGCTGATGCATTATCTCACAGCTACACATTTATCTCCACTCTAAGTGCAAAGTTATTGGGATTTGAGCACATTAAAGAATTATATGGTAATGATCCAAATTTTGCTAATGTGTTTAATGCATGTGAGAAGGCAACTTCTAATAAGTTTTATAGGCATGATGGGTTCTTATTAAGAGAAAATCGATTATGTGTGCCTAACTGTTCATTAAGAGAATTGTTAATAAGGGAATCAGATGCGGGTGGCTTAATGGGACATTTTGGAGTTAGGAAAACTTTAGATATTCTGAACGATCACTTCTTTTGGCCACATATGACATGCGACGTTGAAAGGATGTGTGAAAGGTGTATAACATGGAAACAAGCAAAATCTATAGTTTTACCACAAGGTTTGTATACTCCCTTACCCATCCATACCTAAACCTTGGGTTGATATATCTATGGATTTTGATTTGGGCTTACCAAGGTCGAAAAAAGGCCACGATTCTATTTTTGTTGTTGTTGACAGGTTCTCGAAGATGGCACACTTCATTCCATGTAATGGACCACATGACGTAGTAGATATGCTGTCGTCTTGATTCCCATCATTCCTTCTCTCCTCAAAAGGATTTGTCCTCAAATCGTCACCTACATCAAAAGGAGAAAGATTAGAAACATTAAAAGTAGCACTAACATTATACTCACTAGGAAGCTCCAACTTGTATGCGTTGTCATTAATCCTCACAATCACTTGAAATGGTCCATCGCCTCTTGGTTGCAGCTTAGAACACCTTTGTGCAGGGAATCGCTCCTTGCGCATATGCACCCAAACCCTATCTCCAGGTTCAAATACAACTTTCTTGCATCCTTTGTTGGCTTGTTTTGCATACTGCTCAGTTCGTTGCTCTATGTTTTGTCGCACACTTTCATGGAGCTGCTTAACCACTTCAGCTTTCTTTTTCCCATCCAAACTAGCTTGTTCATCAATAGGTAAAGGCAATAAATCTAAAGGAATGAGTGGATTAAAACCATACACAACTTCAAATGGTGAACAGTTAGTTGCTGAATGGACCCTCTGATTATATAAGCAAATTCAACATGCGGCAAACACTCTTCCCAATTCTTCAAGTTCTTCTGAATAATAGAACGCAATAAGGTTGACAATGTCCTATTAACCACTTCTGTTTGTCTATCAGTTTGTGAATGACAGGTAGTCGAAAACAGTAGCTTAGTTCCTAGCTTTCCCCACAATGTCTTCCAAAAGTAACTCAAGAACTTGACATCGCGATCAGAAACGACAGTCCTTGGAATGCCAAGTAAACGAACAACGTCCTTGACGAATAGATCCGCAATATTGGTTGCATCGTCAGTTTTATGACATGGAATGAAGTGTGCCATCTTCAAGAACCTACAAGATAATGCATCAGCCACAATGTTTTCCTTTCCTTGCTTATACTTGATCACATAGGGAAACGTCTCAAGGAATTCCACCCACTTAGCATGTCGTCTATTCAACTTACCTTGTCCTTTCAGGTGCTTCAACGACTCATGATCAGTATGTATCACGAACTCCTTAGGCCAAAGATAATGCAGCCATGTCTCTAAAGCTCTTACCAATGCATACATCTCCTTGTCATAAGTAGGATAGTTAAGTGTTACACCAGTCAATTTTTCACTGAAAAACGGAATAGGTCGTTGTTCTTGCATCAAAACAGCACCAATACCAATACATAATGCATCACATTCAATTTCAAAAGTTTTAGTAAAATCAGGTAAAGCAAGTAACGGTGCAGAAATTAAATTTTGGTTAAATCCCCATTTTGGTCCCTGAACTATTGTACGGACCCTCGATTTGATCCCTGAACTAAAGAAATCCCCGATTTAGTCCTTAAACTATTGTACGAACCCCTAATTTGGTCCCCACTGTTTATAATTTGGCCTAAGTTGGTCCTTGAACTATTGTACGGACCCCAATTTGGTCCTTACTGTTTACAATTTCGCCCCAATTTGGTCCCTGAGCTATTATTTAACAAAATGACCAAGTTGTGGTTAAATTGGTAAACAGCAGGGACCAATTTAGGCATCCGTACAATAGTTTAGGGACTAACTTGGGAGTCCGTACAATAGTTTAGGGATCAACTCAGGGGTCCGTACAATAGTTCAAGGACCAAATTAGGGATTTCTTTAGTTCAGGGACCAAATCGGGGGTCCGTACAATAGTTCAGGGACCAAAATAGGGGTTTAACCTTAAATTTTCCTTAATTAAATTGAAAGCATTCTCCTGTTCACTTTCCCAATTAAATCCAACACTTTTTTTCACAATATCAGTTAACGGTGCTGCAATTATGCTGAAATCCTTGATGAATCTCTGGTAGAAACTCGCCAAACCATGAAAACTCCGCACCTCAAAAATATTTTTAGGTGTCGGCCATTCTTTAATAGCGTTAACCTTTTCTTCATTTACTACAATTCCATCAGCTGAAACAACATACCCTAAAAAAACAATCTCATTTGTGCAAAAGGAACACTTTTTAAGGTTAGCAAACTGATGGGAATCAAGACGACAGCATATCTACTACGTCATGTGATCCATTACACACCCAAGGAGGTCCAGTCACGCGAGCTAGAGCTAAGAAGATGCGTGAAGCTTTAAATGGCCTTATTGAGCAGATCTGGGTTGAAAACAACATACAACAAGCAAATCGAAGCTTGGATGATTATCAAGGCATGGTAAACATCATTCAGGGTCAAGAGAAGCTTAGTTAAGGTCATTTGCACAGAATTACACAGTTTGTGTTAAAATCGCACAATTCTGCCGCAATTTGTAGTAAATTGATATTTCATGTTATTTTAGGTTATTTTAGTATTTTCACATTTTTTGCATTATTTTTGGGCTGAACATTCGCTTATTTGAAGCCCAATTCGTGGTTATTAGGTTTAGGCCTTAGGGTGTTAATTTCCTATTCTGATTAGGATTTGTTTTCTCTATTTAAAAGGCTTGTAACCCTAATGGGGAGGGGGGCGATTGGATCTGAGATTTTGAGAGACTTTTCTCCTTTGTTCATTTCAGAACTTTACAGAACTTATCAAGATTATTATTGTGGTGTTCTAACCTGACTTATCATTCTCATTCTTAATCGTTCGAGGGTGTGGCGTCAACC